TAATCGGGGTCAGTTTGTCAGTGGAGAAACTTTTGTGTAGTGTGCAGATCAGCTTATGCTAGCCATAAACTTCATAGAATCATGGAATGGTTCAGGTTGGAAAGAACCTAAAGATCATCTGGTTCCAGCCCCTGCCATGGGCAGGGACCCCTTCCACTGGAGCAGCTTGCTCCAAGCCCCTGTGTCCAACCTGGCCTTGAACACTGCCAGGGATGGGGCAGCCACAGCTTCTCTGGGCACCCTGTGCCAGCGCCTCAGCACCCTCACAGGGAAGATCTTCTTCCTTATATCTAACCATAAACTTCATATTACTGGTTCAAAACTGGAAAATAAATATTTCTGCAGCTTTCCTGGGGAGTGATAACCTGCTGTCATTGACATGACCCACTCATGATTTAAAAAGGGGTTTGAAATCACTGTTTTCTTTACCCTCTTACGAAGTAACCCAGTGCCTGATCCTGCAAGTACCTAGATGACAAAATTCCCCTCCAGGCAGGCTCAGACTACCCAAAAGAAAGCTTATGCAAACATTATTGCCATGTTCTTCTTTGTCAGCAAACCATAGAACAGCGCATAATGTTTCTCGTTTCTCAAAAGTAGAGCTTTTGAGGCCTAGTTTGTCGATTTAGTGCACTATCAAAGCCAAAACTTGAACAGCAAAGTAGCTGGTTTGTGTGTTAAATAAAATGTGTCTCTTAAAGATGTGGTCGGTATTCTCTAATTAAGCAGTACTGATCTCCTCCAGGTACAGTAAGGATCCAGTTCTGCCACTGTTGTATTTCCAGTCTTGTTTTTAATGGGGTTTTGATTTGTACAGATAGGACCAGATGAAGCCTGTGTGTAATGAGGCTGAAGATTAAGCATCTTGTGATCTTGAGACTGAAGAGCTTCCATGTCCAGCGTATATCCTGTGTGTTCTCAAGCTCTGTTGTGGAGAGAAAAGCATGTAATGCTCACATCCTATCCTCTTCTCTGTTCTGTCATCTAAAGTAAGCTTTTAAGGGCAGCAGTTGTATTTCTGCAGCATAAAGCAACGGGGAAATGCTCCAAGTCTGGGTAAAGGAAAGCAGAGGGAAGGGCTTAAGTCCCAGTTCTCACCTGGGGAACAAACCAAAACCCAGCTGTATTCACAGCATGTTAACCATGCTCTAATGCTGCAAACCATAAACTCTCATACTGCAGTAGCACAGTATGAATCATCCTGAATCAAGAGGAGTTTCTGTGTCAACCTCCTAAGCTCTGGAACAGCTTAGTCATGGAAAGAAGCCCTGCTAGGGAGAGGTGTCCTGTCTCCTCTGCTCGCCCAAAACACCTTCCCCATTCACAGACACCAAGGCAAACGGGAATATTGGAATGACTGTGCAGTGGTTTAGCTTAGGTGTCTGCGGATGGGCATATAACATGATGTTCTTGGAGCCCTAACACAGAAAAGGCTCTTCAGCTGTACTTTAACGCTCAGGTCAGCAGGGGGAAGTTCTATAAAATGCAGTCAGTTAGAACATTTAAAATAGTAATGACTGCCTGAAATGACTCTGGTGGGTTTTAAAGGGGGGAAAGAAAAAGTACCTTGGTGTTTTTGCTGTGGCTTAGATAAGTGCAAGACTACAGTCAGTCATTCAGCCTGTTTGTTTTTCACTCTTGTGGGACAGAGCAAATCCACTCCTGTCTCTGGAGCGATGTTCTAGCACTCTCTCTTACAGGAAGAGATGATGACAGCTATCTAAACTCATCATCTTGAAACTGTTTGCAGGTGGACATGTGCTTTTTGTCAGGAAGTGACTCATTCTGTGCTCCTAGGAGGGAGGATTTAGCCTGTGTGTCTGTAAGACACTTGTGATGCTGTAGTGCACAATGTGAAGCACAGCCCCAGCCTTCGCTGACAGCAGCTTTGAAACAGGTACTTCCAAACTGGGAATTGCTCATGTTCCCTGATGTTAACCTGCACAGTGTGGTGTATCAGGAGTCATAAAACATCCTCCTCTGAGGTGATCATCTGCAATCTGTCTAAAATGCAGGAGTTCATCCAGGAATTCTATTTATACGAGTTATATTGAAGGAAATGGGTGTTTATTTTTCTTCCCCAACCATGACTCCTCTTCCCTTTTTGTTCATTTTAAAAGGCTGACATGTGAGCGAGAATTGTTTTCACCTTTCTGCATCTGGTAGCAAGTGTCACATCTACATCTGCGTGAACTACATGTGCTAGTAAAACCATGTATTGTGTGTGCAGCAGACCTCAGAATGAAGTAGCACATTATGTCGGGGATAAATACTGCCTTTTTATAGGGGAAAAATAAGCAATGGGCATGTCCAGGGTAAACACATGGAGCTAAATATCTGTGTGTGTAAGCTGCTGTTGGCATCCGCACCAGATCAGTGCGTGTGGATGGGTGAGCCTCAGTTTGAGGCATTCCTTTCTATAGCATCAAGTATAGCATCAGGTTTAACCACTGAGGTTTGCTGTTTGAACTGTGTGTTTTGGGAGTGTTTGGCTGGCCTGTCCATGCTCCCTAAGGTATGGACACCCCTTGTTCAGAAGTAGGGTCAGAACCTTTCCATCCTTATGCTAATGCTGTTATTTTAGGTAGATGTTCTGGTCGTGGTAAGAAGTGATGAACAGGAACTGCTGCAAAGAAACCCTGATACAGGAATGAACCAGCAGGAGCCTTGGGTGTGCCTGGTAGATGGGTAACAAAGAGAACTGGAAGAGCAGCCAGTGCAGAGGAAGAGGTATTTCTGTGCCAGAGTATGTTGTGTGTATTTCTGGTGATCCCCTTTCTGTGGATTAGTAGTTTCCCTCTCATCTGGGAAACACCAGTTTCCGCTGCCACAAGGCTCTCGGCTCCCACCCTTGGTTACCTGTTGACTTTTATAGCGTCAAGATAAAGTTAAGTGAACAGCATTTTTCTTAAGACAAAGTCAACACCGTTTTTCTGAAGTCAAATTTGAGCAAACAGCGTTTTTTCCTGAAGGGATTGCCCTCTTTTGTAGCCTTAGGCTTTTAGTTAGTTTTCCCAGCACTGTTTGACCATGGCAATTGCACATAGCACAACCAAGGCGGTGAGCCTCTCCTTTGTCAATCACGCCCATCCCCGTTTGCTTTGCAGACTCATCTCGATGGTTTCTTTATTTTCCGGGTCCCTGCTGCTATAGCACAGTTGGAGTGGAAACTGATTCGAACAGCCCAGGGGGGGTTGGAGTGCAGGAGCCCAATGGTTGCTCCCCACCGGAGCCTGGCGCTGGGGAAGGAAAGGGTTGGGGGTAACCGCGGTCGGTACCGCTCCTGGGCGGTGTTACCGGGGGTGTTCACAGCGCTGCCTCCCTCCGCCCGTACGGGGCCGCAGGTCCGGCTGCCACGTCCCGGGGGCCGGGCCGAGGCCGGGGCGGGGCGGGCAGCGATGCCCAATGGAGGGCCGGGCTGCGGGCCTGCGCCCTGGACCCCTCCGCGGTGGGGGCCCGGCGGGCAGAGCCGGCGCGGCCGCGGAACGGGGCGCAGCATGTGCGGTAAGGGCCGGGCCGGGCGGTGCGGTGCGGCCTGGAGGGGTGTGCGGGGGGCGGCTCCCGGTCCTTGCCCCTATGGTTCCGTGCCCGCAGCTGAGCTGCAGCTCCCGGGGCAGCCCCGGCGGAAGGAGGGCGCCGGCCGCGTCTGCGTTGCCTCGGTTATAGAGATAAGGGCCCTGAGAGCCGTTATCTGGGAGTGTCATCGTGTTGTCCACCGGCCGCCTCCGTTTCCCCGGGGAGAGACGTCTTGCAACGGGTTAATAGCTCAAAAGGGAGAATTGTCCCCAAATCGTGTGCGGTTGAGGCCGGCGCGTACAAAAGGCAGCGCTGGAAACACGCTGCTCCGCCGGTGCGGGCGCTCGGTGGTGGTGCTGGGTCTGGGTCTGGTTCTGGTTCTGGTTCAGCGGTGCTGGGGATGGAGGCGGGTGGCTTTGTGGGGTCTAGTTCTCAAAGCAGCCAAGTGACACGGGAGCCGAAGCCCCGGTGAACGTCGCTGATGTGCACGGTATGGAAAAGGGACGTGGGTTTCACCGGTAGCCTTTCCGAATGCGGTTGTATCAGGACAGCCACTTCTAGGTGGAAAGCGTGGCTCCTGGGTGTGTTTTTTAGGTGTTAAAACTTCTGCTGTGGATGCTCGTACATCAGTTCAAGTTCACTCGCTGTAGGTTGTGAGGCAGGCAGGTAAACACGGTGTGGAAATGCCCGCTGTGGGGTTCTGCCCCAGCTCACACCAGGCTGCTTGAACCCCAACAGGGCTTCCCTTGCTTGAGCAGATAGATGCCTTAAGAGTCACTTTGGTACTTTCCCCTCCTGTTCACTGTATTAGTACGTCTCCGCCTCATCTTTTGGACCCAGGGATGTGATTTATCCTTTCTCTTCCTTCTAGCACGCTGTTTTCATGTCTTTCCATAGAAATTCATGCAGCTTTGACCTGTTGACTCATCTTCGTTGTTTTTCCCCATTTCCTCCCCTTTCTTTCCCGTGTTGTTATGTGTGAAATTAAAATGCTGCTCTAAGTAAGGCTGTCGGGTTTGCACTGAGCAAGTTGCTGTTCCTGTCATTGTTTGGGGGAGATGGAACCAGTGTCACCTTCAGCCTCTCAAGTCTGTGGAGCACTGTGAAGAGGCAGTCAGGAATTCATATTTGTGTTTAACACTATGTTAATTTGTGTTAAAGGTACAAAATGGAGCAAAGCTAAGACTGGAAGGGGTAATTACTGTTATAAATAGCTTGCTGCAAGGATAGGGATGGTTTTGGTGCCTTCTGCTTGCCTTAGTTGAGGTCTGGCCTTTGAAATGTGCCATATTAACAGTATTCTCTTTGTCTTTAACCACGATAAGCCCTGACAACGCTGTGGGTAGTTACTCGTGTTCAAGATTAAACATGCTTCTTCCATTTTTGATACAAGCAAAGTTCTCCTTGGATATTGGAATGTTTTATGAAGCAGTAGGGAAGGCATTAAGGATCATTGAGTTTTGTTCTGGGAGCCAGAAATACATCGTGCGGTGAAAAGCAAGAGGAGGAGAGCATTAACCAAGCACCTTCATGCAGAAAAATGAGCCTTGGAAGCTGAGGAGCTTCAGAGCGCAGGAAGTGCGTGGCTGGAGACAGTTCAGGCTCTGTAGGGAACAGGAGGGGAGCTGTTTGGAGTCAGAGGGTGCTACCACATGAACTCTTGTGACTTGTGGTTAAGAGCAGTTGGCAGAAGCACAGGAACACAGTGAGCTCTGCTGCTGCCTTCGCACTCCGTCCGGAGCACAGGACAATCACCAGTGGTCCCAGCTCCCCTTTGGAAGCATCGACTTCAGTGGCAATTGGGGCTCCTTCCATCCAGCAGCAGAAGACTCCAGCGATGGAACAAGGTGAACAAACAGAGGTGTTGTCCTTTCGGCTCATCCTGCAAGTGTCATAAATAGGCAGAGCTGGCTTGTAGGTACTCCGAGTACTTGTGCTAACTAGACTTCATGTTGCTCCTCACTCAAGTGACAGCAGTCTGCGTCTTAGAGGGCCCTGATGTCTCATGCTGTGAGCAGTGTAGTGTTAGCTGTGCAAGCCTGGTTGCTTGTAAGAGCCCTCAGACAACATTTCTGTACCTTCATTGTAAGTCAGGGTATACGTTGCTGTATCTTGCTGTGCTGATGGGTGCACCATCCACGTTCGGGTTTTTATCCTTTTTGGGTAGAAAGTCAGTTATTAAACGAGTGTTTTGCTTCATTAAGAAAAGATGACAGTGCTGTTACTGTTATCTGAGTTCTCCCTGTGGCAGCTTCAAGACTGGAATTACCAACACAACATTTTCAATGTAAGATAATCTGATGTTCAGGTTTATGTGTGTGTGAGTTTACAAAGTCCTGTGATCTGATGTGCTCTTCCTGCTCGACAGGTAAAGGAAAGTAGCCTCAGAGTTTGGTTCCTTGGTGCCTGGAGCAACCTGGGGGGTTTGTTTTTAATACCATGAGTGGAAAATAGGTTTTGCTCTTGGTATGTCTTGCAGTTTGAAGACCTAGCTAGGTATAAATTGTGTGTGCTTTAGGCTGGATGCACCAAACCAGTTCAATGGCATCCATGAAATAGTTTGGAAAACAGGTTTTTCAAGGTAGCCAGGCTGTTCTGTAAATAAGTAAACCTGCCCTGACCATTCTTAAGGACAAAAAGTGATTGTAGAATTCAGGTCTTGTGTTACCAGTGATTGCTGGAGATAAAAATGGGCTTGAAGACTCTGGTTTCCAGCACAGCAGTGGGGACTGCTGCAATGCCATTTGTACACCTGGGTGCACGCTCCTCTGTGAAGCACAGTAGTGGCTCTTGCCCAGAATGAGTCCTTAGGACTGATGCACTGGTTGCTTACTGCAGGCAGGAACAATTCTGCCCTTTTTAACTGGGGAGAGAGGTGTGTGCATGGGCAGTGAAAGCAGCATCCAGGGGACAGATGTGGCTCTCCATGGAGGGGATGTTTTCCTGCTCTGCTTTTTACTGGTGCAGACTTGATGAATTGAACATCTACTCTCCCATAGACAGCTAGCAGACACAATAATGACATCTGCTTGCTTTTGACCTCGTGCTCCTTCAAACCATGTGGAATTAGGGTTATTTCATTATGCAGGGGTTGGCACAGTGTCCGCCTCTCCGAAGTGCAGGGCACTAAAGAAGAGGAGCCTGCTCCAGCAGGTTTTAAGCATCGATCTGGGACTTTGCTCTGAGCTATGATGAGTATCTGTGAGAACTTGCTGTTTGCTGGTGTCTCCTCTGCTGTAGCTTGAAGGAAAATGTGTTTATTGCTTCCTTCAGTCTGTAATGTGTATTACATAGGTGGTATTTAGTAACCTGCATCTAATTTGTTGCAGACTTGAGGCCTAATAATGATCACGAGGATAAAGGATTCTTTGGAATTGCCAAGTGGATGCACTGATAACATCGTCTGTTGTGATGGTTTGAGCAGTATATGGTGTGGTATAAAGGAATCTGTAAATCCATCTTGAAGCCTAGCCCCAAGGCTCTTCTGCTTCTATAGGGAAAGGATTAGGTGAAGCTATTCCTGAGTAACTGCGTCTTCAAGGCACTGGAGGAGATAATTTCTTCTTACATGGAAGTGGTGATTAATTTCATTTGTCTGTAATCTTACCACGGAATAAAGGAACATGAGCACCAGAAAGTTCACAGGAAAATGCAGTTCTCAGAGAAAGTATTTTTGGTGACTGCCAACAATAGAAACTCTGAATGTCCACTTGGTAAAAGTGCTCTTTGTTCAAGTGTGTCACCTCTTTGTAGGGAATTCTTCCTGTAGCTGTCATTAAGAAGGTCTGAGTTTTGTGCTTGGACATGAAGAATGGCTTCTAAGACAGTGTTGAGCTTCACAAGCAGCTCAGTGCCTGTTCTGCTGGTGGTTCACCAGGTTCTTAAGACAAACCCTCAAGAAAGGAAAGGTTTTATGTCCCATAGTGTATTGTTCAAGGTATTTCACTAAAGAGAAATCTACATAGAACTTCTTACCACGGTGGGCTGTGTTAATCAAGAATTGAATGGTAAGCTGACATGCTTTGAATAAGAGTCCTGTGTCAAGTTACTGGTTGAGATGTTTTATTATCTTGTAAAGCGTGACTGCTGTTCCAATCCTGAAGTATATGAGTGTCCTGAATATATATGAGAGTCAGGTCCTGAAGTATGTGAGTGTATTCCAGACAGGGTTATTGTGTTTTCTGTGCCTAGACATTCCTGTAGTATGCTTGCTGCTGTCTTATTTCAGCTTGGGAATTCACAATGACAAACAGTGCTGGACCAAAATGAAGCCCAAAGGTTGGGATTTTGTTTCACAAAGCATGGATTTCACCTCAAACAGTGCCAGCTCAAGGCTTGGCAAGGAAGTGTCATTAAATGTCATTCACACATCCTGGTTTTCTGTGGTAACTTCCTCTTTCTGGTTTCTTCCAGAGGGCAGGTGTGGTGTTACTACTGTAAACCACTCGTTGTTGAGTCATGAAATCAACCAGGTTGGAACAGACATTTAAGATCGAGTCCAACCATTCCCCCAGGACTGCCAAGTCCACCACTAACCCATGCCACTGAGGGCCATAGAAGGCTTTATCCCTCATTTTAGCTTAATATCCATTTGTTGGACATGGGATGTTGCAGAAGAGCCAGTTTTAGTGGAGGCTTGTGAAGGCTTCTCAGGGCTGTGATGGACCAGCTGGTGTGGTGTCTAAAATGTGTAAGTTGAGCTGAAACTGAAACTCCTCTTTTCAGGTCTGCTTTATAGGGACCTGGAGTTCCCAGTTTCAGGAGTGTTCTGCTTGGTGCTGCACCAGATGGGGATCCTGATGGAAATCGGCTAGATTTGCATTGGAATGTCATCCAAAGCAACATGTTTCCATTGACTGTTGTGATTTAAATGATTTGTCACTTTGACAGCAAAATTGGCACTTTTGTGTCAAGAGGGCTCCCAATGGAAGCCTTCAGGGAGCTCTCATGGTTGGTACCTCTTCATCTTTGGAATGCTGTAGGTTGAGATGGATTTAAGTGCAGGGATGGAGTAAACAGGGCTTTAGCATTGTGAGTTACACACACAACCTGTTTGTGGTGTGTGTGGGGAAGGTCTGGCATAGTTTAAACTGCAAGGTAGAGTTGCTGTGTGTGACATTACACCTCAGAGAGGGCTGTGCTTTGTAGCTGGATGAAGAACAACCCTTTGTTCAGCTTTGGAGGAGAAACAGGTTCTTTCTTGAGCTGGTTTTGCATCATGCAGGGCTGAGAGCCCTTTGACTCAGCACAGCCACCTTCCTTGCTGCATTTACCCAGGTGAGACCAAGGGCTTGAGGTCTAACTCCAGAGGAGTATACCTAGAGCCCCTGTTGGTGGCTATTGGGAGAACCAAGTGGTTTTACAAACTGCCACTCAGGTCAGTGAAGCACAACAAGTGTTTGATGCTTTGGGTCTTTCTTTGCTCAGTTTCTGTTGAGGGCAATGGAATTGTACTTAAAAATGGGAGTGATGACAAATGTGACTGCTCTTATAGTCGTGAATAACCCAATAGAAAGCTGGTTGCTAAATGTGCATTGAAGCTTTCTCTGGCTGTGGAGAGTCACATTTTTGTGGCTTGCTTGAAAAGGGGAAGATTAAATGCATTTGAAAGTCTTTCCAGTAAATGAAACTGTTATTTACACATAATTCAGCATCAACAAGCATCATAAATAGGTGAGAAGCCTTCAAGTAGTGGGTTTTAGCTTGTGGGTTAGGAAGTCATGCATTTAGGAAAAGTTGTGCTCATTTTCAGCAGCCCTTTGTCCCATTTTTTACTTTCATTATGTATTATTCTCCCCTGTTACCCTATTTTTTTACTTTTCCCTATTCTATTTGTTTTAGACTTGTTTTCTCTAAGGTGAGTTCTGAACCCTCTTGTCTCACTTGCCTTCCTGTTTATGAAATGAATTTTTTGCTTTGGTTTTCCCTGTGGCATCTCCATTATCACTCCAGCTGTTTTCCTTTCCCCATCTAACCACTGAACTGACTCTAACCTGAACCTCCCAGTGTTTACTTGGTCATCTTTGTTAAGTGTATGTTAATTTGAAGTGTTAATACTGTATTTGCACGTTATTTAGTTGGCTTCCTAATGTAGTCTCTCTTTTCCAAAGCAATGAATTCCTTGGTCTGGGGGGGTCTTACTTTCATATTCTGATATATAATTTTAAGAAATTGTGCTGTAATTAATAATCTGTTAAATAATAATTGTTAATAACTGAGACAAATGCCAAGTTGGCTCCTTTCTAGCTACATGTTTGCAGTGTATTTAGAGCACAAGTAGGGTTTAACAGCACTGCTGTTGGGGCTCATTCCGGCTGAGCCATCCCCTCCTGGAGGACATTGGTTTCCAGTTTGTTCCTGCTCAGTCCATGGCATTTTGATGTGCTTCTGTGCTCCCATAGAATCAACCAGGTAGGAAAAGACCTTTAACATCATCAAGTCCAACATTCCCAGCACTGCCAAGGCCACCACTCACCCATGGCACTGAGGGTATGTGAACACTTGCAGGGACTGTGACTGCAGCCCTGCCCTGGGCAGCCTGTTCCAATGCCTGAGCACCCTCTGGGGCAGGAATTGTTCCTAGTATCCCATCTAAATAAGGCTCTTATGCTGCTGCTATTCACTGGAAGGGTTTCCAGGAGCTGTTTTCCTGTGGCCAGCCTGATGTTCAACATCCAGAGCACCTTCATGCTGGTCATTGGTCCCCATTCACTCCAAAGAGCGTTTCCCACTTGAACAGGCTTTGGTGTTGTGTCCTAGTAGTGGAATAACTCACTAGGTATCCATGTTCCTGAGCAGGATGGGTTATGCCACAGTGGGATAGCTGGAATCCCCTGAGGGAGCTGCAGAGACTATTGGTGTCTCTGGAGAGCTCTCTGATGGACCCATCATAAAGAGTGGGAATGGGACCCTTGGTGTATAAATCAAATGCAGGGAGAAGTTCTAGCTCTGGAATTATTTAGCCAAATATAAGCAGCATTCATGGTTCATAGTTACTTCTGCCTGTTATCCTTGTGCCTTCTGAAGTAGCTGTACCTTGGATGCCATGGTAGGTGATGTGAAGGGACATGTCCAGGACTGCTGGAACCCAGCCTGCCTTTTTATAGACTTCTCCTGTGCTTGTTTTCCCTGGTTGGTCGTACACACTTGTTATTTATATGTGTGATGCATTGGGTGTCTGGTAAATAGAAGGAGAGGGACTTTTCCAGCTGCCTGCTACCAAAGCAGTCTGCTTTGTACTCCTGCTGTAAGACCTGGAAGTCATTTAAAGGACTTCAGGCATCCGGGATGTAGGTGAGATGTGCATCCTTTGGCCTGGATGACAGCTATTTGGAGTCAGCTCACTTGTAAACAGGGAGGCTGCTGTTTGCCTGAAGAATGGAGGTTTTAGAAACAGACTGAACTAAGCTCAAATTGGAAACCTTCTTTGTGCCAGAAGGGTGGGGAGAGGAGGGTTTGCTCATTGGAAGTATCCTTCAAAGGAGGTTTGTGCCATGCAGCAGAGGTTGGTAACTGCGGCCAGTGGCTGAGTGGGAGCTGTGAATTGAGAGGTTTGTGGAGACCTCACCCTGCTGGGGAGTTCCTGGAACCAACATTCAGGTTGAACGAGGGCCATGGGAGATGGCAGCAGCCAAGCTCTGTGCGTGGTTGGGATGTCAGGAGGGATGGAAGTGGTGCAGGTGTTCGTAAGCTCTGTCCTGGTGGTCTTGCAAGTGGTGATGAGAAAAGGCTTTGGGGGAAATGAAGGTGGAAGCTAAAGAAACCCGGGGAAAAGCTCAGTTTTGGGGTTTATTCCCTTCATCTGACTGCATGGTTTGAGAAAGAGGAACAATAGAAAGGGCATCTGATTATTCTAGCAGCCTGAAAGGAGGTAAGTGCAGAACTGGAGGGGTTTGCTGTGTGGTATTTGATGCTGCCCTGAGTGGCCCATATTTCCACTTATACCATAAATGAAGGCATCAAAAGCTTAGAATTGTTTAGTTTCATTCCAAACCACACAAAATGTAAGAGCATGGCAGCACCACCAGGAACAAAACAGAGGTTGAGGATGCCTTTAAAAGGACTTTGTGTGTGTGCCTGAGCTCTGTTCCCCTCAACTTCCAAGCACAGATGTTTGTGTGAAACTTCTTCTGCTTTTATTCCTCACAGATACTTTTCCCCTTTAAAATATTAGGGTGAAATGGTAGATTTCCACTATTATTTCTAGCATCCACTTAAATGTCTTCTCATGCTGCTGCTTGATGATGGCACCAAAGGAAATCTTTCTGAAACAGAGCTGTAGTTGGCATTAGGATTCTAGGAATTTGTGTGTCCCATCACTGCTTAAAAATAGAAGCAATGACTTCTCTTCCTTTGCAACCTACAGGCAAAATAGCTCCATTAGTTTGAGGGTGTTAGTTTGCATGAGGGAAATGGGGGTTTTTCTTAGTGAGCCTGTGGGAGGAACTTGGGGAAAGTTATTTGAGGAAGAATTCCTTTTGGAGGTGGTTCTTCAGCATGCAAAGCTCAGTGCTGGTGAACCTTGGCTTTTTCATCTGGGGTCATTAGTCAAAGGGGGGTTGGATGGGATGATCTTCCAGTGTCTGAAGGGGGCTACAAGGATGCTGGAGAGGGGCTCTTCATCAGGGAGTGTAGCAATAGGACAAGGGGTGATGGGTTCAGACTGAAGCAGGGGGAGTTCAGGTTGGAGATAAGGAAGAAGCTCTTCCCTGTGAGGGTGCTGAGGCACTGAGCCACAGAGAAGCTGTGGCTGCCCCATCCCTGGCAGTGTTCAAGGCCAGGTTGGACACAGGGGCTTGGAGCAAGCTGCTCCAGTGGAAGGGGTCCCTGCCTGTGGCAGGGGTTGGAGCTGGATGATCTTAAGCTCCTTTCCAACCCAAACCATTCTCTGCTCTCTTCAGGGTTGGGGATGTCACTAACATCCTCCACTGGACCTCAGGTGGGGTCAGGAAGTGCTGCGAGCATGGTGGTACCTTCAGGCAGGGGTTCTCAGTGCCGAGGCCTGTTGGAGCTGTACCACAGTGCTCCTCCTCAACAGACAGCACATGCAGGGCTCTCAGGTGTGACTCTGTTGTAAGCCTGTGCTCTTTTCCCCCATACAGGAATCTTTGCTTACCTGAACTACCATGTTCCCCGGACAAGGAGGGAGATCCTGGAGACCCTTATCAAAGGGCTGCAGCGGCTGGAGTACAGAGGCTATGATTCCGCAGGTAGCACTCTCTGAGCAGCGCTCATCCTGGGTTGAATCTTGGCTATTAACAGGGATTTTCAAGGTGTGTTTGTGAATGGTTTCTACTGCAACACACAGTGGAAGTGCCTCTGATCGTGTGGCTGAGGTTTGGATTCCCTTTCAGTATACATGTTTCTAGGAGTATCCTTGATGCCCAGAATCTGATGCTTTAAAAATACCCACGGGATGACCAAGGGAAAACTCAGGGCTTATCAAAGGGATTGCTTGCCTTTTTTTTGGAGGGTCAGCTATGGGGGAAAGGGCAGTGTAGAGAAAAATATGGACGGTATTTATGTAAAATACACTTTCTGTAATTCACGTTTTCTCTTCATGTCCTGTGGTGATGTTTAGGTGTGGGAATCGATGGCGGAAACGACAAAGACTGGGAAGCTAATGCCTGCAAAATCCAGCTTATCAAACAGAAGGGGAAAGTGAAGGCTCTGGACGAAGAGGTTCACAGTATGTATCTCCCTCCCATTCTTTGCCTTGGAATGCCCTCTCATCTCCTTCGTGGTTTGAAGACCACCTGCTTTGCCCAGGAAACTGTGTTTCCACATAACTTGTGTATAAAGTGCATGTGCTGTGAAGAACCCAATGATCCTGTGGGCATTGGCATGAAGTTACAGATAAATCCTGATTTCACAAGAATCACATCCTGCTCAAGTCAGGTAGACCTGGAGTTTGTTTTAGAAAACACCTAAAAGCCCCCAGACAACAGACTCCTTAAGCTGGGGAAAGGGAATTACTGGGAGACAGTCATCAGAGACCTGGAGCTTGGGAAAAAAAGAGGAGTGCTCTTAGAAGTCTGTTAAATCTCTGCACAATGTGAAGGTTGTTGGATGGGGAGTTCATGTGGGCGCTGGGAAAGGCATGGGAAGATGTTCTTCAGAGGAATCATGGCCTCTAGTTTGCATTTGACACCTGATGTGTTATAACTTCCCTTTCCTTATCGTGTGCTAGTGTCCCTCCAGGTGCAGCGGGCTCTTACCCAAAGGGAAGGTGGGTAGCTCTTAGTGTAAGGAGACTGTGTCCCTATCAGCATTGCTGTTCTGGTGTAACTCCCACTTTGACTTTGGCATGGGGACACCCCCTTGGGACTAAAAACCTCTACTTCTGCCACAGAGCAACAGGACATGGACCTTGATATCGAGTTTGATGTGCACCTTGGAATCGCCCATACCCGCTGGGCCACTCATGGTGAGCCCAGTCCCATCAACAGCCACCCACAGCGCTCGGATAAAAACAATGGTGAGTGGGTGCTTGAGGCACTGGCAGGTCTTGGAACATCATAGAATCATGGAATGGTTTGTGTTGGAAGGGACCTTAAAGCTCCTCCAGCTCCAACCCCTGCCACAGGCAGGGACCCCTTCCACTGGAGCAGCTTGCTCCAAGCCCCTGTGTCCAACCTGGCCTTGAACACTGCCAGGGATGGGGCAGCCACAGCTTCCCCTTTGTCCTGTCCCTACAGGTCCTTGTCCAAAGCCCCTCATCTGGAAGAGCTTCTGATGCCCAGTGTGTCACAGGGCAGTGGGTTTATTCAGGCTGTGCTGCCAGTTACTGTGAAGCTGGAGGGGTTTGGGCTCAGTTTCTGGCCATGGGATCTTTGCAGCCATGACCAATCCCAGGGAGGGCCAGGGTCGGTGCCCAGAGGTTGTGTGGGAGCTGCTGAGCACTCAAGTGGCTCTTACACCATGGCAGGACCTCAGTAGCCCTTGTCCTGCCAGGGTCATTGCTACCTCCTGCCCGGCCAAATGGGGCAGTGAATGGGATGGCACCAGGGGCTGAAACTCCTCTGCTCTGCCCATGGGGACTGGTGCCGGGGCTGAGCAGGGCCTTTCCTCCATTCCCAGAGTTCATTGTCATCCACAACGGCATCATCACCAACTACAAGGACCTGCGCAAGTTCCTGGTGAGTGATGCTGTGTGTGTGACACTCACCCCCTCGCCCCCTTGTGCTCCCACACTTACCCACTCCCCCACTTGTATTGTCACCCTCACTTGTCCCACTCCTCCACTCACTGCCCCGACTCCCATTCACTCCTCCGTTCATGTTCCCCCCTCATGTTTTTGCACTCACATTCACTCCTCCACTGTGCTCTCACGCTCTCTCCTACTGTGAGTTCATTCTCACACTTGCATCCTTCCATTCCTCACTCACATCCTCCCCTCTCACTGCATTCCCCCACTCATACGCTCACATTCACACTCACTGCCCTACTACAGTCCCCAACTCACCCTCCTCCTTGATCCCTCACACCCCCATTCACACTCCCCACTCGTGTCCCTCACTTGCACTTGTCCCCTTGAACTCCCTCCTCATACACTTACTCCTGTACTCCTCTCCCTTTTGCACTGTCGTGTGGGCACTCACACTCCCTTTGCGTACTCACTCCTCTGCTTGCACTCTGATCCTCACCCTCACTCCTCTCATGGAGTGGGAGGGTGGGAGAAGGGAAAGGAGGTAAATGCAGAGAGGAAGGGATGAAAGGGAAAGGAAGTGGGAAGGAGGACAAAGATGAAGGGAAGAAGGAAGGAAAATGAGAAAGGAAAGGGTAAGGAAGAAAGCAGGAAATGGGAGGCAGGAAAAGGAGTCCAAGGGAAAGGGAGGGAGGGAAGGAAGAAAAAGAGAAAGGGAAAGGCAGGAAAGGAGAAGGCAGAAAATAAAGGGAGAAGTCAGGAGGGGAAAGGAAGAAGAAATGGAGGGGGGAAGGCAAGAAGGAGAGAAGGAAGAGGAAAATCAGGAAAGAAGAAGAAAGGGAAAGGCAGGATGGAAGGATGGAAAAAGGGAATAAAAGAGGAAGGAAGAAATGCAGGAAGGATAAAAGCAGAAAAGGAAAGGTAGGGAGGCAGGAGCTAAGGAAAGGCGAGACATGAGAAAATGGGGGAAGAAAAGCTAAGGGGAGGGGAGGAAAGGAGGAATAAAAGGAGAAAACAAAAGTCAGGAAAGAAGGAAAAGCTGAGTAGAAAGGAACATTGGGAACAATGTGGGGCAAAAGGGCTGAGGGAAAGGGAAGGAGAAGCAAATGAGCCAAGGCAGGCAGGAGAAGCAAGGTGGGAAGGGGGCAGCGGGCTGTGACCAGCGTGTGCTGTCGCTGCAGGAGAGCAAGGGCTATGACTTCGAGTCGGAGACGGACACGGAGAGCATCGCCAAGCTGGTCAAGTACATGTATGACAACCGTGACAGCGACGACATCAGCTTCACCACCCTGGTGGAGAGGGTCATCCAGCAGCTGGTAATGCTGGGAGCAGGGGACACACAGAGAAAATAGAATCATAGAACGGTTTGGGTTGGAAAGGACCTAAAGATCATCCAGTTCCAACCCCCCTGCCATGGGCAGGGACACCTCACACTAAACCGTGGCACCCAAGGCTCTGTCCAGCCTGGCCTTGAACACTGCCAGGGATGGAGCATTCACAGCCTCCCTGGGCAACCCATTCCCGTGCCTCACAACCCTCAAAGTAAAGAGCTTCTTCCTTATATCCAGTCTAAACTTCCCCTGTTTCAGTTTTAACCCATTACCCCTTGTCCTATCACTACAGTCCCTGATGAAGAGTCCCTCCCCAGCATCCCTATAGGCCCCTTTCAGATACTGTAAGGCTGCTCTGAGGTCTCCGCGCAGTGTTGCACAGGGTGAGGTGGCCAATGTGGTCCTGTCAGGCTGCACATAGGTCATGCTGCGGCACATGTTACGATGTGGTTTTGTCTTTCCTACCTCCAACAGTTCATCAAGCTCTATGTTGGGTTTTCTTTAACATGATTCATTCCTTGGGAGAGAAATGGCTACGTTTTGGGGCATAGAAGTATCTCGAGGCAACGGGTCCCTGGTGGGTTGCGTGGTGAATGGGCAGGGGGTGAGAGCTGATGTGGGATGGAGTGGGAATAAGTGCAGTGAAAAGAAGTCTGGGTCTCAAATCTTCCCTGCAGCCTCCATCTGGAAGAGGTGCTGACCCCTTGTGGGAGCTCCACTGCTTAGCGTGTGGCTCCACTTGCTGCTGGGTGGTGCTCAGGAGCAGGATCCGTCTGCAAGAATCCATCCCCGAGCAGGGACCCCTTCCACTGGAGCAGCTTGCTTCAAGCCCCTGTGTCCAACCTGGCCTTGAGCACTGCCAGGGATGGGGCAGCCACAGCTTCTCTGGGCACCCTGTGCCAGCGCCTCAGCACCCTTACAGTAAAGAACTTCTTCCTTATCTCCAACCTGAACTCCCCCTGTTTCAGTCTGAACCCATCACCCCTTGTCCTATCCCTACAGTCCCTGATGCAGAGCCCCTCTCCAGCATCCTTGTAGCCCCCTTCAGACACTGGAAGCTGCTCTGACACTACGCAGCTTCTCTTCTCCATGCTGAACAGCCCCAGTGTTCTCAGCCTGATTCCATACGGGAGCTGCTCTGGGCCCAAGCATCATCGGGGCTTCCTCTGGGTTTGCTCCAGCAGCTCCACATCCTTCCCATGTTGAGGACGCTGGAACCATGCACAGTACTGCAAGTGGGGTCTCACACAGGAGCTGTAGCAGCAAAGACCAGGGATGTATTGTGCTGGCAGATCATGGTGGCTCACCCATTGGCACCTCACCTGAGCAGACACCCCAAAGCTTTGATGCTGCTTTTACCTGCTCTTTGCCTCTGTAAGGATGGGATGAACAGTTTGTGTTTCTCTTGTTCCAGGAAGGTGCTTTCGCCCTTGTGTTCAAAAGTGTTCATTATCCTGGTCAAGCAGTTGGGACCAGGTAGGTATTGCTTTGGGAAAGAACATCTGTGTTGCATCCCCATATATTGCTCTTTTTTGGCATGAAAGAGTGTTTTTATGGAAGGAGCTTGCTCTTCTTCAGCCCAGTTCAGTGCTGTGCTGGAGAACAGTGGCTTCATGGGGTCAGATGAATCTTGGGGCACCTTGGGCTCTAACTCCATGTCTTCCTGCAGGCGAGGCAGCCCCCTGCTTATCGGGGTACGCAGTGAGCACAAGCTCTCCACCGACCACATCCCCATCCTCTACCGAACGGGTAAGTGGGAGCATCCCTGGAGCCTGGCTCCAGGCACAGACAGCATAGGGTTTCACAGGCATTGGAATACATATTAACACTTGCAGACTTTCATCTGTAAATGAAACCATTACAAAAATGGGATTTTGGGTGGTTTGGAGTCAGTTTTAACCACCATGTACCTCAGGTTAGTCTCTGTTGTGTAATCAAAGCTTTAATGTCCAGTGGTTGCAAAGAAAACACATCTTAATGTGGTAGAATAGAGTAAAATAGGGTAGTAAAGGTAACAGTTTCGTTAAACTTATATCATAGAATGGTTTGAATTGGAAAGGACCTTAAGATCATCCAGTTCCAGCCCTCTGCCATGGGCAGGGACACCTCACTCTAGACCATGCTGCCCAAGGCTCCATCCAGCCTGGCCTTGAACACTGCCAGGTTCATGCTTTGTGTGTGGCATGTTGGCATTCACAGGCCTGGCTGCTTTCAAGACCAGAAATGTCTGTGCTGTGCCAGCTTTCCACTGTCACAAACCTTTCCCCTGTCCCCAGTGTGACTTTTAACAAGCAGAACGCTGGTACCCTGTGTGTGGCACCCACAGCTCATTGTCCCTCCATCCTCCACACGTGTGCCTAACCACCACAGACATGTGGGTGCCCCCCGGAGAATGAAAAGTGCCTTAAGAATCATTTGTCCTTTTCCTCCTCTTTTAAATGATCCCATAATTTCCTGTTGTCAGAGAAGGCTGAACCTGTACAGTCACTGGCCTGGTTCTCTGGGCACCAGTAAGCTGTGCTGTGGTTGCTCTGGGTTGGATATTGAGCGGTAATCTCAATGTATGTATGTATTTTTTCACTGATGATCTCCAGTTTGGTGTTTGACAGTTTCTTTTCCCCCAATTACACTTTCAGCCGTGCAATCTATGGATCATTCTTTTGATGGAATATCCATAAAAATGGAGGAAGGTGCCTACGAGAGACAATTTAATACTTCCAAATTTCAGACAAACCCTCCAGTTCCTTAGGAAAGCAATCACGAATGAGACAAATACGCATTGTGTCTTTACTATGTGGTTATTGCTTTCCATGCAGTGAAATGAGTGGGAATTCCATCTGCATTGATGAAACCAATCCACCCATGAGTCCACCCATCCCATTTCAAATCTTCTGACGCAGCTCTCAGCATATGTGCACAATTGATGCCTTGGTGCAGCTCATGCTATGTGCTCCCTGCTGCTCTGATTATAGAAGGAAACAGTCAATTGCTTTAAACCCTCTACCCTTAAGAGAGTGAAACCCTGTTAGGAGGTTGCTAATGATCATAGAATCGTAGGATAGTTTGGGTTAGATTGTCAAAGAGCTGCATCATCCCTCCTGGTTGTAGCAGGAGTGTGAGTTGCAGCTCCTGGTAGAAGCATTAAGGTTGCCCTGAGGCTGGGACTTCCTTCCCTTTGCTCATTTATTAGGGCGAACCAATGCACATTAACTACTTCAATTCCTTTAAAGGCTAAACCCATCAAGTGTGGTGTGATGAACCACGTTCACATCTGAAGCAGGAGAGTGCTCTTCTATAAGAGGAAAGGAACTGATTCTTAGTTTAATAAGTAATTGTGATGCCCCCCTCAGCAGTCCATGGCCTTGGGGGTGAAACCTGTGCACTGTTGCTGGAGGAGAAGCAAACCTCAGGTTGTTCAAAGGGAACAGTGTTTGCTCCATAGGGAACTGCTTTACCTGAACCCAAACATTAGAATCATGGAATGGTTTGGGTTGGAAAGGACCTTAAAGCTCATCCAGTTCCAACCCCCTGCCATGGGCAGGGACCCCTTCCACTGGAGCAGCTTGCTCCAAGCCCCTGTGTCCAACCTGGCCTTGAGCACTGCCAGGGATGGGGCAGCCACAGCTTCTCTGGGCACCCTGTGCCAGCGCCTCAGCACCCTCACAGGGAAGAGCTTCTGCCTTATCTCCAACCTGAACTTGCCCTGTTTCAATTTAAACCCATCACCCCTTGGCCTACTGCTACAGTCCCTGATGAAGAGCCCCTCTTTAGCATCTGTTAGGTGAGGCTTTGTTTCTTTTTGCCTTCTTCAGTCAGTGTAAAGCATTAAGGCAGGTTGACCATAAGTCCTGGGAGCTTTAAGAACCAAAGTCCCTCAGCTTTCAGAGGCTTTCCTGAACAGCTGAGACTCCCTCACTGATTTTTTACCCTACCTGTGTGAATTCTCCATGATGTCTCCTCCAGCCTTTAGTTTGAAAGGGAAAGAATGAAAGATGAAGTCTGTGTTGCTTCTGAATTGTAGTCAATAGGAGGTAGGTGCTGCAGAGCAAAGATGCAGGTTACCTATAGAGAAATGGACAATCTGAACAAACCCATGGGTGACATAACTGCAATTGGCTGATAATACTCACTGGAACTTCTCAACCCCTCCCTGGTCAGGTAGATCTGTAGTGCATGTGCACAATAACAACACGTTCCAGGTAGGATCCACAATACAGGAAAGCAATGGCACATAATAAAGACAATGCAGGGCAATGTGCTGATCTGAGAACCAAATTTGCATGTTCTGATCAAGTCGGGGTGCTGCTGGGGTGGGGGGGACAGCCACTAACACCTTTGCTCTGTCCTTTCTCACTGCCCAATCAGCCTTTCCTGCCTCAACTCAACAATAAAGGACCTGTTTTCCTCATGCACTGAACCAGAGGGCTCTAAATTCTTGGCTGAGTGGAATGTTCTTCCTTAAGGAGTATCAACATGAAAGCAGTAGTTTTGCTTTACAGAAGAATAAATCCAGACCTCGTGAGCTCTGCTTACATCCCTGAATCAGATTGGTGTCCAGTGGGTGAAACACAACACGAGAGCTTCAGGAATAAATATAACAGTCACTTTAGTGGTGTTATTCTTTGGCAATAGTCACATTTTGCACAATCCCTCTTACCTCTTACCGGTCCCTGCACAGCAACCAGCTCATTCTGTCCAAGGTGAGTGCAGAGAACTAAGTGTCCTGGTCCTCACCTGCATGCCTGATGGGCTTTGCCACCAAAAAGTATATGGAGGATTGGAAGGAATTGCTGGAATACCTCAGAAAGGATCCCTGCTCAAACACTGCCTTTATTTAAAGGCTTAATACAGGTTTATCCTAAGCTGACTCTCAGTTCTGTGTCTACCCATCTCCATCCCTGGCAACAGTATGGGACTCACAGTGGTTTGCCAGCTTTTTGGATCAGAATGCAGTGGTTGTGTTTGGTAGCTCAGGAACACCACCAGGTACTCAATCATGGATTTCCTGAGCTGGGAAGCATTAGCTCAGCCAGACAAAACTCAGTTTGGGTTACATGTGCTCACTGGAACCGTGTGGTTGCTCAGGCAGCAGCTCTGAGAGATAACTGACAATGGAAGAGCAACCCTGCTCCATTTCCCACAGCCTCAGGAAAGTGAGTGCAACAGGAGCACAGGAGAAACTGAAAATGATGAAACGGGGCTGATTCCATCAGGAACCCTCAGTAAATGTGACTGCTTCTAAAGCAGCTTGAATCCACTCCCAGCAGAGCTACACATGAGCTTTCATTTGAGCTTTCGCTCATACTTTCCTGCTAACGTTACATTGCAGGCTGAATTCAAAAGCACATCCAGAGCCTTGCAAGCCAACTGGGAAGGGGCCCACTAAGGCGGGTGCTGCTCTGCTGCTCTCTCCCACCGTGGCTGCTCAGTTAAATACTGCTTCATGTTGGTACTCGTGGGGCCTGTGGTGACACTGATGCTGCAGCCGCGTTCCGGTGTGTTGGCACGTGTGGTCCCTAACCCTTGTGTCTTCTAGGGAAGGACAAGAAGGGAAGCTGCAACCTGTCTCGTGTGGACAGCACCACCTGCCTTTTCCCTGTGGAGGAGAAAGCTGTGGAGTACTACTTTGCTTCTGATGCTAGGTAATGGGCTGCCGAGCCTTTTAGTGTGTGTAAAAATACCCTGTTTAAAAGCTAAGGCTTTGAACAGGCAATGGGGTGGCTGTGACTTTGTTCTGGATAACATATAAACTCTGTGTACATGAATCAGTTACCATGACCCTGACAGAGACAGAGGGGGGTTAGATGAGGGTTTCTGTTAAAGGAATGAACGCTTATCAAGCACATCTGTTGATAATGTTTCTGAGGTGAATGATAGGAAACCTGAGAGAGCACTGACTGAATTAACAGCCCACATCCAAACTGTGCTGATTCCCCAAGGATCTCTTCACATGTGCAATTCCTTTAGCATCAAAGGTGTCTGATTTTAATCCCAGTGGAGAGAGTGAAGCCTAATTGGGCAGCCCTTACCAGAGCTTTTGGGTTTCTCTGCATTGGGGACATGAGCGTTTGCTTAGGAACTTGAAAGCACTGCCCTGCATGACTTCTGCAGTACTTCTTAGAGCACTTTGGAGGGTCTCAGGACACACTGATGGGTTCTGATTTTAAACAGCTTTTCAGTGACTTGCCCAAGGTCAGAGCAAAAGTTACTAAACCAGGGAGCTGATGCATTTTAGAACAGCTTGATTCCTCAGCTGTGAGAGTACACCCTAAAACCTGGCTGCAGATACATTCCAGCATTGACATTCCCCAAGTAAACTGCAGGCAGGGAAAGGTTTTTGATAGTACCTCATCCTCTGAGTGCTTCTACACTGATCTCTGAGCACTTTAAGAGGTGGCTGAGCTCTTTTACAGATTGAGAGAGTGCGGTGCAGGCAGGAACAGTGGCTTCTCACTGCAAAAGGCAAGAAAGGAACCTCCATCTGCAGTCGAGCATCCCTGTGTGCTAGAGCAAGTTTCTGCCTGCTTGCTACCTCCTAACAGTCAGATCCCAGTGCTGCACGTGCTGCTTTGTCCAAGGAGTTCCTAGTTTCTTCTTAAAGCAGAATAATGAGTTAGGTGGAAAAAATCCAGTTACATTGGCAGTGTGGAAATGTACTTTACAGAACCCACCTTCTTTTAACAGAAATTCCATTGACGTGAGCAACTTTTTTGCCTCGAAAGCTGTAGGTTGGATTAGAAATGGGGCTTTAGCCCTCATCTGCCTGTGAGGAAACAATGTCTTATGGCAAATGGTGTGTGCTTTCGTAGTGCTGTCATTGAGCATACCAACAGAGTGATTTTCCTGGAGGATGATGATGTAGCTGCTGTGGTCGACGGCCGGCTTTCCATCCATCGCATTAAGCGCACGGCAGGCGACCACCCTGGACGGGCTGTCCAAACCCTGCAGATGGAGCTTCAGCAGATTATGAAGGGTAAAGTCACCTGTGGAGGTGCACGGGTCCTCCCCTGGCGTCACAGAATGAATCAGGTTGGAAAAGGCCTCTGAAGGTCCCCTGGGTGAGGGGGGACCTCGTGGTCTAAAAGCAGAGCCAAGTAGGTCAGAGCGTTAACGGTGCTTGTTCAAGTCGGGTTTGGGGTGGTGCCAAGGACAGGAATCCCCTGGCCTGCTGAGCCCCTGTTCCAGTGTTTTATTGCCCTCCTGGTGAACAAAGTTCATTCATCTGGGCCTTCCCTCTATTGCATCTACTGGGACCTGGCCTTGAACAGTTCCAATGGTAAGGTAGTTCTTGCAGCCAGAATCTGTTGTTTAATACAATAAGAGGAAGGGTCAACTCTGAGATTTAGGGCTCACCTTATGCAGAACAGATGAAAACAAAAGCACAGATTGCTGTGCTTATTTCATATACCAAAGTAAGGGGGAAACAGTGCATTTCTTCGTTATGAATCAGCAATCTGTGCCATGGCAGGGGGTTGGAACGAGATGATCTTTAAGGTCGCTTCCAGCTTAAACCATTCTGTGATTCTAGCTGCTAACACCATAAAGGAGAGGACTGTGGGGCAGAGAGCTTTGCCTCCTGCTTGGAGGCATCCATTTTTCAATATGGATCCCTAACAGGTTTGCTGTTGCAGATCTGATCCTTGACTGACACATCCTAGGAACTTCAGTCTAGCTTCCCCAGTAAGCAGATGCTTTGGCAGAACAAGAAGCATCAGCTTAATGATTCCTGACTGGTCGCTGGCCCGGTAGTGGCTCTGGTTCAAGCTTTTCCCTATGTACACAGGAAAAAGGTAAATTACGAGGAGATTTTGTTTCTTTCTTTCTTTTATAGGTAACTTCAGCTCGTTTATGCAGAAGGAAATATTTGAACAGCCAGAATCTGTCGTTAATACGATGAGAGGAAGGGTCAACTTTGATGACTACACTGGTAATTGAGATTTATGGCTCAGTATCCAGTAGTTACAAAGGAGGAAGTGGGTGATGACATGGGAGATTAAAACATGCTGGTGTAAGATGATGTGCCTGTCTCCCAGGGAGTGCTTCCAGAATTACTGGTGGCAAGATAGCTTTTGGGGATGGTTTTCTGCCAAGTGGTTGATGGGGATGGTGACAGGCTGTGTGTCAGCACTGGTGCTACCTGGCCACCCTAACTGTCTCTCTGAATCCTGCTTGCAGTAAACCTTGGTGGGCTGAAGGATCACATCAAGGAGATTCAGAGGTGTCGTCGTTTAATCCTCATTGCCTGTGGCACGAGTTACCACGCTGGGGTTGCGGTGAGTGGCCAGTCCTGAGCTGCAGCTGGAGCTGAGCTGCGGGCACAGTGTTGTGTGTGTCAGGCAGGTTAAGGATTGATTCATCAGGGACTGTAGGGGTAGGACATGGGGTGATGGGTTTAAACTTAAACAGGGGAAGTTCAGGTTGGAGATAAAGAAGTTCTTTACTGTGAGGGTGCTGAGGCGCTGGCACAGGGTGCCCAGAGAAGTGGTGAATGCTCCATCCCTGGCAGTATTCAAGGCCAGGTTGGACAGAGCCTTGGGTGACATGGTCTAGTGTGAGGTGTCTCTGCCCATGGCAGGGGGATTGGAACTATAAGATCTTAAGGTTCTTTCCAACCCAAACTGTTCTATGATTCAGGTTAAGATTGAGCAAGTCCACCCTGATGAGTGGAGACCCTTCTGAAAGCTGCATACACCAGGCTTTCAGTTCCCCAGCTACAAGAGTAGGAAAGAGAAGCTGAAGAACTTATGAAAATGTTGCCTAGGACTTTATTGCTTTAAAACCTCAAACCTGCTCTGTCGTAGGAGACAGTTGGCAAGGGAGGAGACAAACAAGAGCAGGCTGCAAATGCTGCAGCAGGGGAGGATTTCCTCCTCTGCTATTTACAGAGACAGCGATGGCGCCTGCTCAGAGGCATCGCTGTGCTTGCCCAGCTCAGAGGAGAGGTTTCACTTTGTACCAGACAGAAGCAGCCCTGGCTGCACCTACCACCAGTGTGGGATTGACCTCATGGCTGGTTAAAACGCGATGGCTGTAGGTGGAGCCTTTCCAGACTGTAGCTTGGCAGCCCATAATATTGCAATTAAAAGTCCTCTGCAGCTTCACAGAGGAATCCTTGAGCTTCTCTCAGAAGTGCTGCAAACCACAATGATGTTCATGGGTTTGCAAGGGCCAGCAAAGAGCACTTTTGTTCAGCTTGGCCAGCCCTATAAGACAGTGTTAGCAGTGATCCATCAACACGTGTCTGGCTTGGCCTGGGTACAGCTGGTGGTTGCAGAGTTCTTCAGCAATACCAGCCATAGCCTGATAGAAGGACACCCTCTGTTTTATGATATATAGGTATCAGTAGGTAAGTGATGGAGAAGAGAAAGAAGCACAGATGTTAATGGTAACAGATCAAGGAAATGTCTATGGAAGTGAGATATGTATGAGGTGTGTACTCGGCACCATAGTTCTCAAACACATAGAGTGAACCAGAATCAACTCTTCCATCACGACACATTGGAGCTGTAGGCCAGTTTGAGTTTGTATTATTCTAAACCAGTTGAGGCTGATTTGATAGAGTTTTAGAATAAATGTTTTTGGTTTTTGGTTGATTGTTCTCTGGAGGGCATACTGAATATATTTATTTTAAGCAAAAGCACGTTAATAAACTGCATGTATGCCAGGAGGACAGTTTTAAATGTCCTCTTAAGTGCCAGAGCACCATGCTGTGCTACTTCTGTAGTTTGGAGTGTGCCAAAGCTGTGAACTGCAAAAATACAAAGCAAAACAAGATCTGATGCATCAGTTCTTGGTGGACAGCATCCCACCAGCTTCAGATCCCCACCTGGGGCTGGTTTTTCCAGGAATTGGTGGAAAAGAGCTGCTGAGCCTCTCTCCATGGGGAAGGGGTAGGCTTTGCCTTCCTTAGGGCCTGGATTGTGGGAAGCTGACATGGAATCGGGTGAGTGTCCCTGCCCATGGCAGGGGCGTTGGAACTAGGTGATCTTAAGGTCCTTTCCAACCCTAACTATTCTATGATTCTATTTAAGACCAGTCTATATGTGAGGGAGGAATTGGCCTCCCAGGCTCTGTGTGGTGCCAGGAGCAGGGTCACTTTGCACAGGGGTGGTTGTGCGACTTGACTGTGGGTAATTAAAGTACAGCTCAGCACTTGTTTTCACAGGCTATTTTGATAGTAATATTTTCCAGTGTGTGGCAAGCAGAAGGCTTTTTTTGGTGCTCAAAACACTTGGTGTTTTTTACACATGATGTAATATGTCACTTTCTTACATCTCCTTTTACCAGACCCGCCAGGTTCTGGAAGAACTGACGGAATTACCTGTTATGGTGGAACTGGCCAGCGACTTCTTGGATAGAAACACTCCTGTCTTCAGAGATGATGTTTGCTTTTTCCTCAGCCAGTCAGGTAGGGTTGCACTTGACATCCCCCCACTGCCTCCCCTCTTCCCTGTAAATGTGAACTTGAGAGGGAAAAGGTTTTAGGGCCAAATTCTTGTGCCTGCCTGCGGGGTTGCACATGGTATGTGTGTGAGAAGAGATTGGCACGCATGTACTGGAAAGAGGGAAGAAACAGAGTGGTTCTCCTCCCATCCCTCTGCATGCTGGAGCAGGATTTTGTTTAGCTAGGTCCTACATATGGTAACAGTAGTTTTGTTTCCCTTCTCTGTGAGGAGATATTCCATCAGTCACCATTCTGTTGAGCTCTGGTAAAGGCAGCTTAATGGTGTCTTTTCAATAGCTGTAGTTCTCTGGTTAAAGTGCTACCAAATACTGAGCCTTGTGGTGGATTGGAGCCATGAAAGAAATGAAATACCCACAAGCATCAAAAAAGACGACCTTGGAATGGAATATGAGATAAAGACAGACTTAAGCACTAATGATAAAAGCTATGTGTATCATATTCAGAATACTTTCAAGGACAATTGCAATACAAAACTACAGTATTGTTTTTCCTCTTAGTTGCATTTACCGTTACGGGTTTTCATAACTGTTCTTCACCTTTGACACCAAAACTATTCCTTCCTTATTCTCCATAGGTTAGAATTCTGTTTTGGTAGCAATTTTTCATTCTTGGTATCCCAGTAATTCCAAATATCCCCTCTTTGTGGGGAGTCTCTTGGTAACGTTTACCCCCCTGGGGTTCTGAATACACGTGGGGGTGCTTCTGCTTCCCCTTTGAGACACAGCAGGGATGTAGCTCTCCCCCGAGGTGCTGGATGTGGCAACTAACAAAGATATTCCAGGAACCTGAGCCTGGTCATCACGCAACACAAACCCAAAGCAAATACTGAGTTCAGATCACTCCAGTTGCTCCCACCCATAAATCTGTTTCTCTTGCCTTAGATTCCCCCCCTGCATGACTTGCTCTCGGTGGTGCATCACAGCTAGCAGGGGTGTACTGAAGGAGACGTGCACCAGGCTAACCTTGGGGGCCTTGATCTCTGTTGTCACCTCAGGAGTACTCAGGAGAGGTGTGTCCTTTTAGGGCAAAAGCAAACTGGTAACACCAGATGGCATTCACAGTGGCTTCTGTTTGTAGTCCCATCTCTGGAGCTCAGCTCACAACCAGTGCTGCTGCATCCTCAGCACAAGGATTTTTGCCCTGTTCCCCCATCATGTTCCTTTAAACCAACTTCTTCTGCTGCCTTTTTACCTAATTTTTGAATCAACACACTAAGTGAGGCTGGACCTCAGCCTGTGTTTGCATAGTGCAATTTGGAACAGGAATGATGAGTTTCAGACGTAACCTCTTTGATAACAGACTCCACAAGCTCACATGGTGTTGGTACACTGTGGCAGCCGACGTTCCATGAGTTCCAGTGGCAGCAGGGTGGTGGGAGGATGAGGAGGTGGCTGTAACTTAGTGCCACTGCAACCACTTCAGCTGGGTGATGTCCAGGTGAATCTTTATTAACCAGGAATAGGAAGAAGGTTGGTTTTGTGAATGGAACAGCACTTGGAGACTGCCTTTTGCTGTTGTTTTTCAATCATTGCAGAATGCTGACTTTTACCTACACCAAACACCATTGGGTTTTGTATTTTCTAGATTTCACTGTCAACTGTTTAGGGTAAAACACAATGTGTGAGGGCTGAAATAACTGCTGGCTCCTCTGACTTGCGGGCAAATACAAACCTCTAAGATTCAAGCTGGGAAATGACTGTGGTTTACATCTGCAGTGAGAGCAGTAACTGGTACTGACCCAGAGCTTTGTCAATACTTGTCTTTCCAGGTGAGACAGCAGATACGCTGATGGGTCTTCGGTACTGCAAAGAAAGAGGAGCCTTAACTGTAGGAATAACCAACACAGTTGGCAGCTCCATATCACGGGAGACAGACTGCGGCGTCCACATCAATGCAGGACCAGAGATCGGCGTTGCCAGTACCAAGGTCAGTCATAAGTTTACAGACCCCACTGATTAATGAAGCTCCTTCCCAAAGTGTTCATCATCAATGGATTTGGGTTGAAGGGACCTTAAAGCTCACCCAGCTGCAATCCCCTGCCATGAGCAGGACACCTTCCACTAGAGCATCTTGCTCCAAGCCCCTTCCATCCTAGCCTTGAGCACTTCTCTCCTTGTTGCTATCGTTTGCCATAAGGTGCAGACTCAATTTAAGGTCTAACGATGAAAAAGGATATTAAAAGACAAGGTTATGGAAACTCCGACCTCATGTACGTGCCCTTAATGGCACTGCTTGTATGGTACTAAAACTATACTTTTTGCACTGGGGGAATGGTGTTTTACCAGTATGTATGTCCACCCAATAGAATTATCATGTGGTTGATGCATCCGCTACACATGATACAGTATAAACTTGCTTTGCTGCATTTCATTTTGATGAAGTGCTGCTGCATGGTGAAATCTGCTTTGATTTAGTTATATTTAGAGGCGAGATGATGTCAATCTGTTACATAAATGCAGCCAAAAGCCACATTTGAGTTTAATAGTTCATTGGGGAATTTGATCATGGAAACTTCATGAGTCTCTTACAAGAAACTCTTGAAGGAGTTGTTTGTCCCTGGCTTGTCTCATGCAGCCATCACTGCAGTTTGGAGATAAGGGGAAATGGCATTTTCTCACTGGTGATGGGGGAGTTACCATCGTTGTGAACATGAACTTGAAAAGATTCTGCCCTAGGTTCTCCAGAATGTCATTTTGAGAGCACATTATAAACAAGCCAAGCATTGTTAGGGGCCATTTGGTGCCATTTACTTCTGTAACCAACTGCACTGCAACTTCTGTAATCAACTGCACCTGAACTCAGTACTCACGGTCCCTGTCAGACTCTGCTATAGGCAGTACAACTGCAGCTCTTCTAGATTCCTTCAGAGCTATTTAAATCTCCCCTGGTATAACAGCATGAAAGTTTGATCATTGTTAGAACATTCGTGTTACAAGGCCTTTGCAGTAGCTGTGTGATGCTGTCCCTTTGGTTTGGTGAACACAGTTGCCTCAACTTGAGCACTGATTTCACTTGCCTGTACAGCTCTTTATCCCCCTAAGTCAGTGGCATCACTCACTAAAGAAGAGGGGTGGGAAACGACCATGTCAATGCCTTTGTGTTCCTCAAAGGGGGTCCAGAAACCTTCCAGTGCTGTTGTGCTGGCTGGGTGTTAGTGTTGGGCTTCACTGTACATCTCCAGTCCATGGCTCTGCCCAGCTTCAGTGCTGTCAGCATTTAGTTGCAATAAAGAAGGACACAGGTCAGGTCACAAAATAGGATTTGATAGGAATCTTAGAAATATGCCATTTTGCTCGTTGTGTCTTCATCTCTTGAAGCATAAGGAGGCAGTGCCATTTCATGCCTCCATTTAAGATTTGCTCCAGTGAGATTTCCCTGTGAGTTTCCTGTTCATCTTGGCTATTTAATTGGGCTGAAAGCTGCTTTTTGGTACCATGGGAAGGATAAAGCCAACAGCTAGTCTAAGGATTTCACACAGCAGGTGGCAACCACTGGGTTACTTGTTGTAGTGATGTGTTTTGTCTCTCTCCTCCCCTTACTAGGCCTACACCAGCCAGTTCGTCTCCTTGGTGATGTTTGCTCTGATGATGTGTGATGACAGAATCTCGATGCAGGAGAGGCGCAAGGAAATCATGCGTGGGCTAAAGGGACTGCCAGGTAGGAAACTGCTGCACTGATTGTGTCTCACCAAGTGAAACTCAGTAGCATGGATGAGCTTCAGCAAGGCCTGAACCTTGTTTTGAAAGACCAAGGGGATCAGATGAGTGCAAGGTGACCGTCAGCAATAACTTTGTCTCCTGTGTTCTCTCTGATGTCTTCAAACCACTAAAATGGACTGTTAAAACACTGAGTCCAGTCTTTATGCAAATCACTGCTCTCTGTATATGAGGAATAAAGAGTATGTGTAGCATGAGAGGCACAGGCACATAAACATGCACAACTAATTCATCTCTTTCCTCCTAGACTTAATTAAAGAAGTGCTGAGCATGGACGATGAGATCCAGAAGCTGGCCACGGAACTATACCACCAGAAGTCAGTTCTCATCATGGGACGTGGCTACCATTATGCTACATGTCTTGAGGGAGCTTTGGTAAGAGATTTCTTGCTTTAAAGCTGGTTCAAACACACTTAGCTGGGGACTTCGGATTTCCATGGAAATGCAGGAAACTACATGTGGCTACAAGCTGTTTTAAAGCAGCCAACAGCTACTGCGTGTTGGCTGACCCAGGGAGCCAAACAGCTAAAACACAGCACATTGCTGCTGAGACCCCAGTCAGGGAACAGCCATAGGCTACAATGGGTTGAAAGGTGTATTTTCCACATTCACACTGGGAATGCTTCACTGGAGCAGGATAAAACCACCCTATGAACTGCTGGGGTGGCATTTGAGCCATGCTCAGTATCCAAAACCAAGCATGTACTTTCTGTACCCAATTATTGTTACTGCAGTTTGGCTTTTGGAGGAGATTGCTGTTGTGCTGTCACCCACTGACATGCAAACACATCCTCTTTGTCTTTGCCTGCCCAGTTCAAGACTATGATGATCAGTATGTTGTCAAAATCATAAGGCCTGTGGCGGGCTTGGTGCTAGAACTGAAGTGTGAAGGGCCTGAGAGCAGTTCAGCCCAGATGCACTGCTCTGATCTGGCCTTTCAGGCTCCTTTGTTGGTGTACTGGATCTGGGGAGAGCCAGAACATGTTTTTACCATAATACAGAGAAAGTGGAAGAAACTAGAGACAGTTAAACCAAAATGACAAGGTTTTGTCCAAAGGTTCATGAATTACTTATTCCCCCTTTAGAAAATCAAAGAAATCACCTACATGCACTCAGAAGGGATCCTGGCAGGGGAGCTGAAGCACGGCCCTCTCGCACTGGTGGACAAACTCATGCCTGTTATCATGATCATCATGAGAGACAACACGTATGCCAAGTGCCAGAACGCTCTGCAGCAGGTCATTGCACGGCAAGTGAGTACCTGCACAAGTTCACAGTGCACCACAAACGGTGCTTTTAATATAGAAGCAGTTGAAAGAGCACTCAGCCTATTTACCTTGGTACCACCAACTGAAACGGGAGCTCAGTAGATACTCTGGGCAGAAGCCTCATGCAGTTTGTTTGCCCCTTAAAACACGCTGCAGGGCTGCCCATGGGATGCTAAGCTGTTTTGTTCTAAACTGAGTTCTTGCTACTGCTGCTCTGAACAGAAGTACAAACCTTCCAGACCTGTTTTTCTTCAACGTTTCCCTTTGTTGCAGGGGCGACCTGTTGTGATTTGTGATAAGGAAGACATCGAGACCATTAAGAACAATAAAAGAACAATCAAAGTTCCCCATTCAGTGGACTGTCTGCAGGGGATCCTGAGCGTTATCCCCCTTCAGCTCCTGGCTTTCCACCTTGCAGTTCTCAGAGGATATGATGTAAGTACAGCATTCCTTCCCTTCTGTGCTCGTGTTTGCTGTGTGCAGGTTTGGAAGAGATGTGCTGGGAGATGATGGAAGTCTGGGGGGTGTCTGTGTAACTGCTGGGAGCTGTGGGGAGGGCAGGTTACATGGAGCTGGTGTTACAAACAGGACTGGAAGGTTCTCTAGCGCCCTGGGCTGAGTTTGTGCACTTGGGGTTTGGACCCGTGGCTGTTCTCTGGTGTGAGCACACAGTGTCTGCAGGAAGCTGAAAGGAAGGTGACAGCACACAGGAGGATGTGTGACAGAGTCTGCTTGTGTCAGGGGTTTGATCTTTAATACAGGCACTGGCCTCTACCTTGTATCACAGTGACCTTTTATCATGTGAGCACTGTAGCAATGCCGAGTAAAGGGACTCACTCCTTAGCTCTCAACAGAGGAGTCGTGACAAGGAGGTTTATGGACTTTTTCTGCACAGATTGTCCTAAACATGCAAATATGTTCAAATCTTCTATTTAAACAGAGAACAACCGTTCCACACGTTGCAGTTATACCCAAACAGGAAGTGTGTGAATACTCACGAGCGTGTTCTTTCTCCTCCCTCTCTGCAGGTTGATTTTCCAAGAAATCTGGCCAAGTCCGTAACTGTAGAGTGAAAGATCATCTGAATCATAGGGGCAAAAGGGGGATTAAATGAAAGACTTCTTTTTGGTACCAAAATAACTTGATTTTAAAGTCCCCTAGGTAAATCTTATTTTGGTAAATCGTTGTTTGTGTATAAGATCACCATAATTCCATTACATTAGTGATTGTCAGATTGATTCCACGTGCTATGTCAATAGCTTTGGGGTTTTTTGAACAATAGACTTCCATGCAAGATGTTCAGTGGTCTTCTTTAAAGATGACTGAGTCTTCTAGGGAAGGGGGCCTCCCCTTTACAACAGTGTCATTGTTTCTTATCCACTGTGGCTCACTCCAGTTGTTGATGAGACGCCATGGAACGTGTTACCTGTCGTGCTCTCAGGCAGTGAACCAGGATACCAGAGTATCCAACGGGAACAAGAGCTGCTACTGGCCATGCTTGTGCAGATAGTTTAACAGATAGCATGGGGGGTAAATTTCTGCCTCATGTACAAAAAGGGAGTTCAACTGACCTGTCACAGCCTCCTAAGTTCATGTGCTAAGAAAGCAGCGTGGCTTCAGCAGGATTTTATGTGTGCCAAATACTTTGCCAGTGACAATCGTGTGGACTCAGTGGGCCACAACCTGGTGTAACATCAGTGTAGACCTGTAGTTGTGCCTGTGAAGACAGTGGAACTCACGCCTTCGAGTAGGAATGGAAGCTGTGGCCGACCTGGTGTGGAGGCTCCAAGTGGGAGAAGAAGGAAAACCAGCAGTGCTCAGTCTGTGCTGGCGTCTCATTGCTGCTGGTTTGGGCTTTTTTAAGTACAAGTCTGCCTGTGTTGAAGATCCCCCGCCTTGAACTGAGCACTGTGGCACTATAACACGTCCTGAGGACCCAGCCTTGTGCTGCTGTAGGTCACTGACTAGTCAGAATGTGTAGACGAGAGTTTCTGCCTTGTACCTGCAGCAGAGAGGGCACTGGAGTTCCCTTCCTGAGGCTCGCTGCCTTAGCCCCAGTCCTCTAATGAAAACACAGGTTCTGGGTTATCAGGAGCAGGTTTTATGTGACTTGTGTCCAATTAAAACTGGAATGGCTAAAAAAGGCTCTACAGACACGACAGAAATGCATACCTTGGTGATAGTTGTATAAGCTTGCAGAGAATCAGCAGTGACACAGAAAATCCACCTTCAGGACTTGACACTGACTTTTCCAAAGCCATTAAGGGGCAGTCAGCCATGTAGTTCCCCTAATGCAAAAAGGTGGGTTTCCTACCAGCTCAATGGGTTTTGAATTGGCTTTACAACACCCTTTAGAAAGCAAAAGCCCCCTACAAGGTGTGAAGCGACACTTGCCCTGTGCGGGTGAGGGTTCCACATCACTCACTGCCCCTGAGGAATGGCTCTAACACTGCCACTGCCCCTTAAAACCTGGTTCTGCCTGCACAGGGGACCCCTGTGTCCGTAGCAGTTGTGGTTTATGTAGAAACCACAGCAACTGTTGAGCTTCAGCTCGGTGTCAGCTCAAGGCTTAGTTTTATTCTGAGTGTGAGATGCTGGAAGCAGCTTCTCCACCGTTGTGTGTGTGTTTATTAATACACCAAATTCAGGCTGTTCACTGGGCTGCCAGTGTCTGTTTAAGAGCCAAGTGATAAATCCTGCAGTTTATTTGTACACTGACTAGGCCAGTTACATGCCTCTGCTTAAACATGACCAGTGACTCCCCTGCTTCAGCTGGAGGTGATGCTTGTCCTTAAGGAAAAGCCAGCACGTGTCCAGTGCTAACGAAGTGAAGACAGTTCCTCTTCTCATTCAGCTTGTGTGGGATGTGTTGGTCAGAGGGCTGGAACAGGCAGTTTCCCCCACCCCAGCACAAGGACTTGCAGTCTCACCTCCTCTGTTGCCATTAGGAAAGGGGGCTCTCATGCAAAAGAACCCTGCAAAGGGATAATTTAAGCCCTTTTTCTCCTGTTCCCCTCGGAACAGAAGCAGCCAGCTTTGCTTTTCTCAAGCCTTGTACAGGTGACTGTCCACTAGGTTCACAACCAGGAGGCTTGACATCCCTGTTCCCATACAAGTTGCTGTTCAGTAGTTGGATAATTCAGGCTGTTCCTTGAGTAAGTTGTACACAACAAGGACCAAAGAGCAGGAGCCTGGGTTAGACATGTCCAACCTCATATCTGTGTAACTGGACACGTAGTGCTGAGCTATTTGGCTTTCTGCTGGGATAGAGAAACCCTTCTTCTTTGTGACTTAAGGCCCTAAAACCTATGCCAGGTTCCTCACTGTCAGAAGGAAAGTAGCATTCACCCCCTGCATCCTCCAGGTCACCACCGCAAGGCCTGAAGCTCATAAACCCAGGACAGAGGTTTAGTCACTACTTGGTGTAAGGTTTAATAGCAAAGAGTGTCACGGAGCACACTTGCCATGAAGAATTCCTCTGCTGAGCCTGGTAGGGCATGGTTCAGCATCTCACTGCTCGTCGTTGCCATGGCTGGGAGGTGCGAGTGGATAGAGGACTCCCTTTGGCTTCCCTTTACCTCATCTCGTCTCGGTGTGATGCATTGTGATGAACAGATGATGTTTCTCTTTTCCTTAGGCAACTTTCTAGGGTGTCTCGTGGTATTTATTAACAGCTAGGCAGTCTTCTGCTCTCCAGGATGAATGTTTTGCTTACTGAGCCAGTGAAATTCCCTCCTTCCTAACTGAGGTGGTTGAAAGTTCAATAGCCCCATCCCTAAACTTGAGCCACAGGTAAACACGGATAAAGGCCTTTGCATTTGGAACAGCCTCTTCCTGACTGCTTTTGGCAGTTTATTTAAGGAGCCATTCTCCTCATCTGCATCAACAGAAGCTTAAAGAGAAGCACGTGCCTGTAGGTCTTTAGGGGTTTTAATCACCAGAGAACCTTCAGCTCTGCACGTGCTGTTTCTGCCTAACAGATCTCAAACCAAGTCCACCCTGCTCTAAGGCTATTCCACACCAATGGATTAAGTTGTACAGGGAATAGGCTCTGCCAGGGAGGTTTTTCCCCTCCTGAAGAAGGGCTACAGATAGTTCTGTCCTCAATTTGTCGGATGAGTAAGTGCTGCCTGTGTGCATGTTCCTACCAAGAGCTCAAACCTGCCCTTGGGCAGCCGTGTCCTTGGAAGACGCAGCAGTGACACAGCAAATGCCATCTCCTTTTAGCAGGGTCTGACTTGAAGGGGATTTAGGTACCAGTAACACGGGGATGCTCTTCCAGCCCCAGAGCTGGACACCCCCAGTGGGTGAGTCTCAACCCCTCTGTATGAAAGAGCTTCACAACAGACCATTTCCCAGTCAAGTGGGAGGGAGCTCATGGACCCAACAGGTAGTGATGCTCAGTTTGGAGCCTTAAACCTAGCCTAAACACTGCTGCAGATTGAGGCCTCTAAAGGCATGAAGAAGCCCAACACATGAGTGTGAAGTTGGGATTCTCCCCTCTGGAGCTGCCCCTGGCAGGCCTTGACCCCATCCATGAGCAGGCACTCAGTGTGTGGATGAAGGGAGGGATTGGACTGAGCTGTCAAAGCAGCACATCCGTGTTTAGCTGTGGCTGGTTTTAGATCCTACCTGGATGTTCCAGTCTTGCCTCAAAGCATGGAGTCCCTCCTCTGCATCAGGAACGGGAAGAAGAAGCAACAAGGAAGTGTTTGGCTTGAATAAAAGGAAAGAAACCTCTTTGCCTTCCATTCAGTTTGTGTAAACAGACATTTGAAGTGGCAAATACCCCCATCTCTTCCCTTCTAGCTCTCTCTGCCTCTGCTTGTACATAACCCAGCTGGCTTGGTTAGTGGGGACCAGTCTGTACCTTGTTTCCTGTCGTGTGCTGTATGCAGAAGATGTCTTTTCCTTTGTCTGTAGTGTTTTATAAGTTGGGTTTTGTCTTTTTTTTTGCTTCCTTTTTTTGTATCTCACCCTTTGAATAAAATCAAGTGCCCTACATGAAACAAACAGAACTGCTGGTCTTCAGTTGAACCCCACTTAGGAATAGGAAACCCCCGTTTCAGAGAGCAAACCCAGGCTGTTTGTCCTGTCTGAGATACAGACTCTGATTCCCACCCGTGATTATCCACTAGCCAAGAAGAAAGCCCCTCAGCTGCCCCTAAGGCAGAGCAGTTGGTGTTGCCTTTGGCACCTTCACTCTCATCTGACTCCCACTTCTCCAACACCGGGCAATGGAAAATCACAGCACAGCCAAGAGAATATCCCCTATATTCCATAAGTGTTGGAGGTCCGGGTTTGGAGAAGGAGAAGGAGAAGGGGTTTGGGTGCTGAGCCAGCAGAGGAGGATGAGCCCATGGGTAGCCCATAGTGCCCATTGCAAGGCAGCAGCTGTGGGATGGCTCATGGCTAAGCCATATGTGGATAACGGCAGTGACAAAACAGTGTCTGAGATTCCATCTCCTCCAGGATTGATTCCAAACACCCTCACTTGTTTCCATGGATAAAGTGGACTCGCTTTTCTCACCTACACCTTTCCCATACAACTAAAAGGCCACGAGGTTCCTCTTTAAGGCTCAGTGCCCTGAATCAATGCACGTACCTTTAGTACCACGACAGAATTGGTGCCTACGCGGGTGTCGGGAGCAAGCTGTGCTCTTCTGCTTGCTCAGGCACAAAAGGGTTTCTGAGCTACTTGAAGCCTGACCCAAAAGCTGCCCCGTGTGCTTAAGAAGAGTTAACTTCTGACTCATTTCCATGCATTTATCATGGCTGGAATGAACTGCAGGCCTTTAATAACAAAAGGAGGAGAAGAAAGCCCATGGACTTGCCAAGATGGTCCTGCAGAGCTTACCCAGCCTAAGAGAATCAGACCCACAAAGCAGACATTCTGGCCCCTTTCCCCCCCTCCTCAGCCTCATTCCTTGTTGTTTAGGTCAGATCAACTCTGTTCCCATGGTCCTTACAAATCCCTATGGAAACGAGTTCAAACAAACACCAACACTGGATCCCGACCGCGGCCGCCAGCCCAGACACGCTGGAGGCACTCACAGCCCAGCACGGCTCCAAGCACAGGGATAAGGAGGCTCCCGGGTGCTCCCGAGCATCCCGAGGCACCCCGGGACCACGGGCGGGATGGGTGGAAGTGGAGGGTGACCAAAGGCCTTGTTGAGCAGGAAATGGCCCTGCATAAAGCCCAAACCTGGGCTGTGCTGAAGTGATGCTGCGGCGCCTGCTGAGGGGATGTAGGATGGAGCACATGGGATCGAGCATCCTCAGCGTGTTTGTGATGATA